CCCAAAGGTGCTTTCTCAACAGGCAACTGAAATTTTACCTTCTCATCCAAGAAGCTTCTTCTGACTTAACAGTGTGGAAAGGAAGGATTGATATTCCCTGCAGTTATCTGGCCATTAGTACTCTCTCTGAGTGGTGACTGCAAGGAATAGAAATCCTTCCATTCCCCACCATTCAGTCATAACTGAAGAAGCTTCTTGGATGAGAAGGTAAAATTTCAGTTGCCTGTTGAGAAAGCACCTTTGGGAGAACTGTGTAAGAAGGCAGAAAATTATCTTGGCGGCTAGAAAGTTGACTATTGAATTAAGGATAGGATATTAAGACATGATACAGCCCTTGGCTATCTCATCATTAAGTAGCTGCAAAGCACTTCCTTCCATCTACAAGATTATCTACCCCTTCAATAGGAATTTCAAAAGCAAATGACTATCATCCAATTCAAGGAGATTCGGTCCAAAATTGCGGAAAAAAAAGACTGGTGAATAATTTCTTCACTTAGTTTCGTTATACTCAACTGATTTAGTTCTCTCTGTGGCTTTTGACAACCAGGCATTCCTTTTCTCAATGCTTTTTTAAATATAAATTAAATCAAATTGTTGATAATGTAAAGCTGTATTAAATCTGCAGCCGCCGTTGCTTCTTGAGATATTGGCCGACGTGCATTAATTATGTTTATGGGATTCAATTAGCAGCGAACCTGCTTAGGATGGCAACTTTGGCTTGCCTAAGACAATGGGCAAACCCTCCTTATGAACTGGAGATATTCTTTTCCTCTATAAGCATACAATATTGAATACAGCAGACCTGACATCGAATCTAAGTTGATCACATAGTCAAGGAGAATTACTCTGAGCCGTGTGCACACCAGGGGATCGTTCTACATTGAATTTCTCAGTGTAATATGGTATAAATCTTCATGAGAGGCTCAACTTTTATTGGATGCGCAAAAGGTGCTTTTTCCACCCCCCTTATTAAATGCAAGAGATGGTCTCCAGGGATGCCAACTCTTCTAAAACATCTCTATCAATTTTTCTCTCCCTGACGATGAGCTCCAGAAGGCTGATGGGTACAGTCTGGTAAATCACTCCCTCTTGTTTTTCAAATGTAAAATAAATTACTGGTCTCCTGGTCTGAACTTCACGTAGCTCTCCCTCTCTAGAAATTAATACGTTTTCATTTGCTCCGTTCCAATGCATTAGCCTCCAAAATTATTCCAAAGGAAAGTTAACTTTCCTGCCGGATCGGCAGGAGAGTAACATGGCGTCTGCTTGGCTCACTTTAGTTCCTCTCTAGGTAAATCAGAGGGACGTGGTGGCTCAGGGGCTAAGACGCCGAGCTTGTCGATCAAAAAGGTCAGCAGTTCGGCGGTTTGAATCCCTAGCGCCGTGTAACTGAGTGAGCCCCCGTTACTTATCCCAGCTTCTGCCAACCTAGCAGTTCGAAGGCATGTAAAAAATGCAAGTAGAAAAATAGGAATCACCGTTGGTGGGAAGGTAATAGCGTTCCGTGCGGCTTTGGTGTTTAGTCATGCCAGCCACATGACTATGGAGATGTCTTCAGACAGCGCTGGCTCTTCAGCTTTGAAATGGAGATGAGTACCGCCCCCTGGAGTTGGGAACGGCTAGCACAATGCAAGAGGAACTTTTACCTTTACCTTCGGCAAATAGTGCGTATGGGTTTTTCTTGGGATT